TATTCCTGCTCTGCTTCCGGTTCTCCCGGTTTTCCCCTTCTGATAAACCATGCGCACTCTGTGGTCTTGGGAGTGAGATAAGCCGATTGCAGTCTTCACCCTGGAATAATCTTGCAAYATTCCACCCTTCCAAATCACCTCCAGCACAGCTGCCTTCATCATTTACACTGCCCACGCTAGAGCCATCAACAGAAAGGTCTTCCAATTCATCACCTTCACCGCACTGCACCCAACCTTCAAACTTCTCTTTCTTCTCTTCAGTTCTTCCCCTAGTGAAACTTGGCTTCGGCCTCTCTGAGAAGCCTCGCACRGGGCTAAGCTCCTTCAAACTTCGTCGGGAGACCCACTGTAACGTCCTCTTCTTTTCTGGTTTCCGGCGCTGCGCGCATTCCCCCTTTTGGCTCGCGACTGGGGACGATGATAGACCGTAACCGATGTCTATCATAGTCGAAACCCCAGTCACGTGTTTCATTTAAGTAAACATCATATCTTGCCTTTTTCCCGTTTCTACTACACATTATGATGTTCTTTTAAATGATTCATAGTGATGCCTGTTCAGAGAAGTGTTCCCATCATTCATTGCTTTAGAGGAACAGTTAGCAAATGTTTTGATCAAGGGAGTTCCCAAGGCAAAGCTATAGCACTATGTAAGCAAGCTGGGTTAGTGGCCTTCCTTTCTATGGACCTGTTAGTGTCTATTCTTCATGTTATATAGTTAGCTACCAATACTAAGGGCACTCTTGTAATTGTACCTGAAATTACAATTAGTTCTAATATAATACAATTGGGGGACTGACAGGACCATGCAGCTCTCTTCTCTTTCCCTTCTTCCATTCTCTTCTCCTCTCTTATGGTTTTATTCTTCTTCTTCCGTCTTTCACACTTTCATTGATTAAGGATCAGACTAATTGCTGGTTGAGTAGCAGCGAGGCACATGCAAAATGCCCATGAGGAGAGATGAGAGGACAGCAAGAGAAAAATAAGTACACTAAAATTTTGAGGTGGTTGTCTAGACATGAGGCCAAGCATGCATTGGTATTACATTGCAAAAACGACAATATATACAAAAAGCAGCAAAACATTCCATCAGATAAGTAGTAATTTGATATAGCTGTACAAACTGAAAATAAATCCCCAAAAGGGTTAAATCTTAGCAATACTTTCTAGGCCTTCAAATTCTAATGGTTATTTACCTATCACAGCTAGATAAATGTGATAAAAGAAGAATAATCTTATCAAATTCTACAAATTACCGAGAAGTCAACAAGTAAAATATATAGATGTTTCAAATTGGATGAGAATGGACCAATATAGTAGGAATGAATGAACAGCATAAAATCCTGAAGAAGCAAACCCCAAGAATCCACATAATTGGAGATTTCCTACCTACCTTGTAACATGGAAGTGAACAATACCGAGAATTGCACCTAGGGCAAGTATATTGTGAAAATTGTTTTTGGCATCTACAAAAAAAAAAAAGATGAAATAAAATCAAAGCACATATTTTCCTGTAGTATATGTATATTCGAGAAATGCCTAATATAAACTTTTGTAGCTTCAGAAATTCTGAATCAGCTCAAAGGCCCATGGGAATAAAAAACATAACAATATGCAAACCAACCAAACATCTAAGAACCTCAATGGCAAAAACCAGACTACATTTTATTGAAAGCAGATACATATGCCAATAAACAACAGCCTAAATAGGAGCTCAATAGATAACTAGAGGAAGGAGGGACAACTTTTGGCTTAAGCACCTTGAGCTGTTTCTAGGACATATACTCATCATACTTGACCATTAAAGTGTTAGATGAACTCTTGGTTGGGTATAACCAGAATTTTTTTCTTTTTTGGATAATTGAAGTTAATTCTTTAATCAAAGGATAGGACTCTCACAAGCATCCAAAAGGAAGGTGTGAGAAGCAGCCTCACTTTAAACAAAGGCTATAAAACAGCCAGAAAGAAAAGAAAATAGAATTAGACAATTACAAAACAGCCCACAACAAATTATCCCTCTTAACCCCTTGTTTGGCAAGTGAATCAGCCAAACTGTTTGCCGACCTTCACACAAATTGGCAACTCACATTCATGTGCCTTGTTAGCCATCAGACTTCCTTTATAAGATCTCTAAAACACCAAACAACCGAATCCCGATACAGAAACCACCCCACAACCACCTTAGAGTCACCTTCAATTATTAAATTCTCCACACCAAGTTAACTTCCTAGTTGAACCCCTTGTAAAGCTGCTGGTAATTCAGCCCTGTTAGAATTTCCACTTCCCACAGATGGGTGAGCATCCGGTTTATTCGGTCAAAAACTGAACCGAATAAACCAAAATTTTAAAATCCGAATTAGAAAAATGAAAACCGAACCGAAAGATTGGGGTGCAGGTGCACTTTAATTTTAAAAACGGAATTTCCACCTCCCACAGATTGAGGTGCACTATAATTGGGTAAGAAGGTCAGCAAATGGAATGGCTGATACTTTAGCTAAGCAAGGAGTTACTAATGAGGCTTTGTTTTGGGCCTGTTTGTAAGTTTTTTATTTTCTTTTTCCATCCATTTTGTGGGTGGTAAGCCTGTAATCTTTTCAATTATCTAATGAAAGTTACTGTTTCCTATCAAAAAAAAATGAAAACCGAACTGAAACCAAATTAGAGGAAAACCGAATAATATACTATATTATATATTATTTTCGGTTTGATTTTTGGTTATTTTGGTTAAAACTGAATTTCAAAAATATATATACTATATTATATATTATATCATAACATATAATATATAAATATATATTATGAAATCAAATTTTATTATATTATATATTAATATATATAAATATATTATATATTAAATATAATATGTTATATATTATATATTACATGCTATATAGCAAAGTTTGGTTAATTCGGCTTTTTCGGTTAACCAAATTTCTAATTCTAAAAACCGAACCAAATTAACCAAAAACCAAAATTTTCGGATCAGTTTTTCAGTTTTAACCAAATAATGCTCACTCCTACCCACAGATCCCGAGAACAAGGCTATTATTACAAACCTTGATTCTTGCTTTTAACATCTGAAGTTTCTTATAAAATCTATAACCCTTTATCTAAACTCCACCTAATCCTCCTCCCACCACTCCTTCACCTTTGGTAGGAAATCAGGGTGTAGTAGCAACATATTTTCAAATCTGAAAGGACAAGGGCTACCCCCCACCCTCTGTTGCGCCAAACTGATTGGGCAATGGTCTAAAACGTGTCTCGGCAATGTTGTGACTACTAATCCCCGCCATTTCACTTCCCAGTCAATTGTAAAGAGGAATTTGTCTAACTTGCAGCAAGTGGGGACCTCTTGAAAATTTGACCAGGTATAATCTACCTTTTGAATAGGTAAATCTCATAACTCAAAGGTTTCTACAAAGAGGTTAAACTTTGTCGTACTTGAAGTAATCCGGTAGCTTGGGTTGTCTAATTCACTCGAAAATCTTCCCCCAAACACCAGGACCATACCATAAACCTTTCACTGCTTCTAACCCCTCCCAAAGTCCCTCCCTTTCCTTATAAGAGGTGGGTCCATACACATTAGTTAAAACCATTCCCAACCATCCACCTTCCTCCTCAGCTTTATGGACACCGAGTACTTCCCAATTAACTCCTTAGCACACTCCAACTCTGCATTTTCCAAAAAAGTTATAATTCCCCCTCAGGCTCCCCAAGATTTTGCATATGCCTAGCTTATGTCTCTAGCTAACCAAATACTTCTCACCCGTTTCCTATCTAACTCAATCAAAACCATGCCTGGTTTTTCTCTCCTAAACAAACCCCTAACGACTCCTCTTTTTCTTGAGCTTCCTAACCCTCTTAATTCCAAATTATCAACTTCATGACACCAAAAGAAAAGCACACCTTGAAAAGACAACTCCCACTCACCTTTGAACCAGCTTTTGTCCTTCCATCACCCCTAACTTCCTTCTCAAACCAAGGACTCGGAGTGTCACCCTTCTCATCCCTTTCATTCTGCTCAAACATCTCTTCCTCCACTCGAATTCTAAATAGTTCCATAATAAGCTCCCATATTTTGTCCCCTATCTCCCTATCTATGTTCTTCAACAATAGATCACCAATCATCTGCACTTGATTACCCTGATCGGCAGATTGCGAGGTTGGGCTAGTCTCCCCTATAGGCACAGCACATAGGACTGGAAGGAACACTAGTAGTAAGTAGTAACAAAAACCGCAGTTCAAAGAAGAATTTTGTATAAAGGAAAGATTTATCGGAGGATTTGGTGATACCTAATCCCCGACCATTGGGCTTAAGCCGAAGGTGTCACTATGGTTAACCGTAAAAAGAGGCAATTTGTAGTTCTACCAAAAAATTCTAGGTTGCCTTCACAAGCCCTACTAACACCTTGTGCATGGCCTTGCTTTGAACACAGTTCTCCTCTATTCTCTGTCTTAGATTTCACCAAGGATTTAAATATCAACACAATACATCTGTTATGAGGAGTTTCTTATCGATATCAGACAGAGGGAATACGGGATACACTACGACTAAATTTGTATCCACTGAATCGTGCGTGTCAAAGCAATATGCATTTGTATTTGCCTATATCATGTTGTATCGATTGATGCACACCAATACGGACCGATACAAAGACGTTTTGCACTTTGCACTCGGCACTCCGAGTTTCATCTCCATACTTAAAAAATGAAGCTTGTGTGATTAGAACCCAAATCACCGAATGTCTAAACCTTAAGTGCAACAATAAACCAATAAGCCAATACCAAATTAATGATAATAAGTGAAATGAAATACCTTTTAACTTAAAGTAAATGTAATCTAAACAAATAGTGTATATTTTTCTTCAATAATTTCAATTAAAGACTAAAAAATTAATATTCAAAATTAGTGTTTTGTAAACTAATGGAATAGATAAGTTCTCAAATCCACATCTATATCAAAAAGTAGTTTTTAATCTCAAGCTGTTTATACAAATAAAAATATTAATAATAGAATAATTATTTTAAATTTTTTTATAAATTATTAATTAATATTTTAATTTGCATTAAATAACAACATATTTATTATTTAAAAAAATAAAAATATTGTTTACAAAATACTTGAGAATATAATATAAATTCAATTTGTCAAATCCATTAATCTACATTTATATCAAAAAATTATTTTTTATCTCAGAAAATTTATGGAAATAAAATATTAATGGAATAATTATTTTAGTAGTTAAAAATTATGAATTTGCATATGATGTATATCTTAGAAATTTAATGTATTTGATATATTTTAAGTTAATAATATATATTTTTACAAATTTTTAATTGATATTTTAATTACATTTCATAATAACATGTTTATTGTTTACAAAAAACAAAAATATTGTTAACTAAACATTTAAGAATTAATTTTTAGTTGACCTTTTGGTTAATATTAAAAATTAAAAATAGTAAAATAGAAAATAATCGGTATAATAATACACATGTAAAAGTTGCATATGTTTTGTGCCTTGAAATTCAGCAAAAATAATATAATAATAGCTTTATGCATGTATTAATTTGTAAATATATATATAATAGGTTCCAGGATTCTTGATTGATACATTACCAATAAAATTTTATGATTTCTACGCATCCTACTATATTAACTGTGGTATATTTCTCCACATATACCTTTAAAATATACATTTTCTATGTATTTATATATTAATTATGGCTATTTTGATCATAAATATAATGTTAATAATATATTTATGGCATTTATATGCATTTTTGGTGTGTCCATATTTTTCGTCCGTATCCATGCATTTCCAAAGTGTATCCGTATCCAAGTGGTCCGATACGACACCCAATACCGATACTTTAATCATTGGATTTCACTTTCCCTGAAGTGGAGCCTAATCTTCCGTCTTCTTTCCTAGACTAGACCAAGAGCCTAGGATGTGTGGCAGAGAGTTTGTCATCGAACACTAACCTCAAACCATCTTTTGCTTCTTCCCCGAGCCATGATTGGCACTTTGAACACTACCAGAGCTAAAACCTTCAAAGCTCTCCTCTCCTTTCATAATCTCCTCCTCCAAGCTTATCCAACCTGAATCTAATGTTCCGTCCTTGTTTTTCTTTCAATTGTACCTTGGGTTTGGCTTCTCTAGACTGATAGAGTAGGAAACCAGTCTCAGCACCCAAGCAAGCCCCAAACTAGATCCCATCGTGATCCTGCCACAGTCACGTAAGCACTTAAGTGATTGCATGGCTTCACCTTAGGTTCCAATGTCTTCAGGTGTGAACCTAATGGGCCAGGCCTTTTAGGCCCAACAATACCCCCACTCTCTTCTGAAGTCATGTGTTTATACCACGTGACTGGGCTAAGCCATTCAAAAGCCCACCAAGTTTTACCTCTCCTTTGCTCCTATTTGTCCCCACCCCAAAACAATTGTGTGAATTTAAACCTGCCATGCCTTCAACTTTTGAACACGTTAATGTCTAAGCAAAGGTTTTAAATATAACTATTGATCCTTTGACTTGTTGCTTCGAATTGCCAAACTGAGAAGTAACTTGAATTACACCTTTTCGATTCTCAGCCTTTTCAGTTTCCTTATTCATGAAACTTTCTAACTTCCTCTGTTCTCCTCTATCTCCAAGAATGCCTTGAGACCAACTCTTGGCCACATCAACTGACTCAACTTCATCTTCTCTAGCCCTTCCTTCCTTCCACCACCGTGCTTCCACAGAGGTAGCAATCCAAGCTTTGAACATCAGGCCATCTGAGACAACTTCTACAGATTGTGGGATTAGTTCTGGCTTTGCTCCATTCACCTCAATAAGTGTTGCTCAAAGGTCTAAAGCATCCACGGACAAGAGTTCCCAACCAGACAACTTTGCAATTCTGTTAGATATCTCATCCGACCATAGATGAAAAGGCAACCCCAGAATTCTCATCTCAATACAACTCATTGGTTCTACAATTTTCTCATTGCAGCTTGGGGACCATCTTCCTACCACCGCCAGTCCTTGCTTTGTTACTACCGACACAGCTTCAAAGTCTAGCCAGGGGTTTCGAATAGATACCACAGCCTTTTGCAGTTCTGCCCATCGATAGGGATAATCTGCAGTAGTTCTGAGATCTTCAATACTTGTTGAATCTCTTCTCCCAGGGTTTTCCAATCTGTAACTTCCTTATTCATTGAGATTACTAATTTGTTCTCTGTTTTCTGGATTCATTGATCCACAGCCTCATCGACCCTAATCTTGCATCAATCTGAATAACCCTATCTGTATTGGCATCCTTTTTTTTCTGCTTCCTCCCATTCTGTTTCTTCCATCTTCTCTTCAGGGATATTCTGACTCTCTTCCTTTCAGAATAGAAAACTCTTTCTTTCATTCACTAACACCAGGAAATCCTGCATTACTTGTGTTATTTTATCCAAACCTGAAGCTGCTCTTCCTTCAGGGAAACATGTGAACTGCACCAGACCCTCTCCATAAAGTTTGTAGATGCAAACAATATCTTCCTTTTCTGTTCTCTTTTCTTTCAGCAGAGTAGCTTCTTCCTTCTTCCACAAGAATACACTCCCACATTCTCTTGCTCGTAAGGTTCTTTTAGCTCCCACCAGAAATCCCTGAAACCAGGAAACTGCTCTCTCTTCAAGAATCAATGAAGCTTTTCTCAACTCTACTACCTTCAGAGCAATTCCTCTTCTTGTCCAAAATTCTTCCAAAACAAACACTTTTGCCTCAATCTTCAGAACTCACCTCCATCTCCTTGCTGGTGCAAACTCCATTTGCCAACAGGTATTCTCTTCACAACTATTTACCTTCCTCACCAACTAAGAAAACTTTTAATGACTACCAATCAGAAAATAGCTATTGAAAACTTAATACAATAGCCCTACTATCCATAAATACATAAATAAATAGGAAATTCCTAGATTTAGCTCATTGTGGATCAAGACATCACTTTGGGTGGATTTGCTTTCAAAAATTCTGCAGTTTCTTTCCACCCAAACACATATCCTTTGAACCTGGGTCAGGTGAAAGAATTTGTTTCTGGAAGGACGGCTGGTGTAGCAGTAACCCCCTTAGTTTGGAATTTCCCTTTATCTTTGAGTTGGTAGTCAACAAAGGAGCAAGGGTGTGTGACGATATTGAATATTCTAATAACCATCCAATCTGGGTAGTAAGGCTTAGGAGGGAAGTGAATGATTGGGAGATGGAATCCCTATTAGGCCTGTTGAATATATTGGATAAAGCCAAGGCAAATCCTTTGGAGTCGGACAAAATAAGGAAGAAAGAAAATTCAGGGACCTTCACTGTGAAGTCAATGCTGGAAACTTCACTGTCAACTGAAGAACCTAAAATCTTTTCGATATGGATGTGGAAAACTTCAACTCCACAAAAAAGTGCAGTTTTTTATGTGGGTGGCTATAAAAGAAAAAAATCCCCACATTGGATGTTCTGAGTACAAAGGGCATGGTTTTGGTGAACCGCTGCTGTTTGTGGGAAGCGGATGAGGAAACTGTGAACCACTTGCTAATTCTTTGCAGCTTCTCTCACAAAATTTGGACCCATGTTCTAAAGTTGTTTGGCCTGAATTGGGTTACACCTCCGGATCTAGCTTTCCTTATGACTCATTGGCGAACTCAGGGCTTTTCTAAAAAAGGAAAAGTGTTATGGAAAGCATTACCATTGGTGGTTAGTTGGTGTCTATGGAAAGAAAGAAACAACCGCATTTTTGAAGATAGGGCCAATCCCCCTGAGAAAGTATGTGCAATGGTGGAGAGAACTTTGATGAAATGGGTTTCCATCAACAGCCTATTAAAGGGATGCAACTTTAAGGTCGTTGTAGAACAATGGAACTCGATAATATGGGATAAATTGAAAATTATGTATTTTAGAAGTAGCCTTTTGGATATTCTCTGTATTGTTGTTTGAGGAAATCTCTCCCTCAACAGCTTATCTTTTTCTTTATATTATTAATATATACCACCCTTTCTTAAAAAAAAAAAAAAAAAAGTATGCCTCTTCTGCCTAGTTTATCTTTTGTTAGGCATTTTCCCATGGCTGCTGTCCAGACCAAAAAAGAAACCTTTAAGGGTACCTTTTCAGCCAAAACTACTTTATGAGGAAAAGGGGAAGCAGCCAGACTGAGATGCTACATCATAGACTGATCGAGAATGACCTTTACTGTCCCATCTCCAAATTCTACTGCTTTCTTCTGAGGCATTCCTCTGATACTGTTGCAGGTGGTGCAATAATCCTTCCAGATCATCAATTTCCCAGACAAAAAGATTTCCATCTAAAGGGAAGTGTCCAAAAACCAGTAGGGCCCTCTATAAAAAAAAAAACATTTCTACAACTGTGGCTCTTTATTAGTGGCAGCATTGAATAGGTTTAGGTATACATCAACCAGAGTCCTGTCTCTGCACCAAGAATCAAGCCAAAATCTTAGTGGGTTCCATTGCCTAATTTATTAGCAATGCCTTCCAAGGAAATGAGCTTGCATGTTTGGAAATTTCTTCCAAACTGCTCTGCTAGTAGTGCTGGTAGCTTGATTTGTGTCCCAATCTCCATTTTTAAGGCCATACTTGCTTGCTATCAGCCAACTCCACCAACTATTTTTTCAGCATTTAATCTCCAATGCCATTGCACAATAGAGCTGTGTTCATATCTCTAACTCAATAGATTCCCAAGCTAGGGGTGCAATCAAACCGAGCTGAACCAAACTTCAGCATGTTTTGGCTCAGTTTGACTAAAATACTCCTACATTTGAATTCAAGTTTGAGTTTGATTCAACTCTGTTTTCTATTCAAGCTCAGGTTGACAAAATATTCTATAAGTTCAAGTTCGGCTCAAAAATTCAAAAAACTATTCAAGCTTGCAAGTTTGAAACCCACAAACTCGAATTTGAGCCTAAATTTGGCATATCAACCCTGCTTTTTCACATTTGAGACCAAGCTAGTCTCACAAGCTTTCAAGCAAAACATTTTATTGGTTGAATTCAATTTCGAAAAACTAATCGAACTTACCCTGAAATTTGAACTCAATTAGCATGGAACTCAAATCATCCCAAACCACCCTTCTGCTTAGGAGATCAAATGCTTGTCCAATCGACTAGATGGATTTTATTATCATCCTTCCACCCCCTTCCATAAAAAAACTCTTTGGATTCGTTCCTTACTATTAGCAACCTTAGATGGAACCCAAAACATAGAAGAATAGTGGCTGCAGAGACTGGATAGAGTGCTCTTGGCTAAAGTTAAGTTACAGCTAAAGTATAAAAAAAATATTTGAAAAGATAAAAGAGGAAAATGTAGTAGAAAGTTTGAGGCACAAAATCATAGTTAGATAGTTACAACCATCCACTTTGAAGTAAATACTGGGGTCTGGGAATAACCCAGTACAAATTAACCAAACAGAGAAAATTATCAAAGAGAAAGAAAATCAAACAGAGAAATACCACCATCGATACTGGGTATTCTCTGTTTGATGGATTCAGGAGGGCATCAAACATAATTACTGAAAACCGAAATAGGACCAATACTGGATAACCACTATTTGGTGGATGCAAGGGGGGAGGCCTATACATAGAAGGCGAACGTTGTTACTGCAAAAGAACTACTACAAAAAAAAAAAAAAGAAAAAACACTCCGTGACTCATCTCAACTATTAGCACAAACCCAATTAATGGTGAACAAGACAATACATAAAAGCAATGAAAAGAAAATTGAGGGCGGAAGTACTTACACGCGGCAGATTATTCTAGAAACTGGCGTCAACTGAGAGGACGATGTTGATGGTTGCTCAGAAGTCATCAGTGCATGCGCCATTGCCAAAAGACGGCACAAGTAAAGAAGGGCTTCTGGATCTCACTTCAGAGATGGAACTTTGCTTTTCAAGAGATTTTGCCTAGCAGGTTCAGTTGAATCAGTTCAATTTCCCTGAAAGAAAAAGGACCATAGAGAGTCTCTGTTATTTAGACTTCTTGCATTCTCAGATTTACCTGGAGGTCCTGGATAGTATTTGCTCTCCAAACTTTTCTAAGTCACCCATGATGTGTGCTTGTTCATTTTGGGGTTTCGTTTCTTCTTAACTTTGGATGGAAGTAATAGAAAAAGAAAAAAAGGATATAAGATCAAGAGAAAATGAATTAATTAAGTTCTGTAGTTTGTAGAAGACAGTAATGGTCATTTGTAAGTGAAATCACTTAACAAGAAGTGGTACAAGAAGCTTTTCTGGATTGAAATTAATGTATTGCTTAGACGGTGGCTTTGCTACCATAAGCTAGTTTTCCTCGAAAAGATATCTTTCCGCTTAATGCCGTTTCGGTCTACGCGACGGGGTGAATACGTTGGTCGATTGGTTGGTTCGATGGAACCAACCACTTCGACCCCTTTTCTCTCTCTTAGGTCCCGATTACAACCAAAATGAAGACAAAAAAAAAAACTAACTACAAAAGGATGATGACAAAACTTAATTCAGTGTATTTCGGCCTCTAAACAATTAATGTTGCAAGGAAATCTCACTCGACTTCAAAATTTGACTACTAATGCTCGAATTAAGGGAATTTCCTTGGATTGTGATAAAGACAATAACAATAGTGGTATTAACATTCAATGACGAGATTCACCAACTGATTAATGACGGAAACTTGAATGAATTCATCTATGGATGGCTCTGATCCGTGGGTGAGGAAAATGGCGTTCAAGGGGATCGGTGATTATTCCAGGGAAGTCGAGCGTGATGGAGGGAAATGGGATAAAGAGGTGGTAAGGTTCCAAGTTGTATTCGAGCGAACATGAGAAAATAGAGGCTGTAGTTGGGGAGCTACTCTATTTGCTGTTGGGAAAATGATGAACAAATAGGGAAAACAAGAAGAAGAGGAGGAGGAGGAGGAAGAAAGAGTGAGATCGTTGAGAAGAATGGTCATATGAGAGGTAGAAGAAACAAAAAATGGGGAGGGGGTGCCATGCTTCTCTATCCGGGAAGAAGATGAACAATGTACTATTGGAGATTCTTGGGGGAGAGAATAAAACAATGAGAGAAAAGAGTAAGGGTGATAGATAGATAAATAGATAGATTGAGAGAGAGAGAGAGATTCAGTGGAGTGAGGAGGGGTTGTCGCCGCCGCCTTTGTTCGGTCTTGAGGGGAAGATGATGAAGAGTGAAGTTTCAAAAATCCATCGATTAGAAACTTTGGATTAAGGGCAAATTGGTAATTTCAAGGAAAAATATAGGGGGTATTTTGGTTAATTAAAGGTTTAAGGGGGTTAAAACTGAGATGCTTAGTTGATGCTGGGATTTTGGGTCAAAATGTGAAGGGTTGGTGTGGGTTTGAGTATACATAGTGATTTTGTGTGTACACGGATGATATTAATCGAAATGTAATCTTTTTAAATGAAAGGGTAAATAGGGGTGTTTTGAGTTTAAATTTGACAGGGTAAGTTTTTTTTTTGGCATTCTAGATTGAATGGTTGGGTCATGTTGGCCCAACTGGGCCCATATAAGGTAGATATGGATGGGGAGTGATTTGGTTAATCTAGAGCTTTGAAATAGAATCTTGGCAAACAAAGGTATTTTTGTAATGCACTTTTGTAAGTAAGGGCTTTAAGATGTATGGGATCACATGGTAAGGTCTAATTGATTTAACGGGTTACGACCATGGAAATTTGGTTCAACAAGGGGGTTCAAAATGAAATCTTAGTTTGATGGGAGGATAAATAGAAGAATCATGGGTTTAAATTTCATGAGTAGATGTTTTGGTGTGTCTAGGGTTGATTGGTGTTTTTGATTGGTTTAGATGTGTTAGGTTTAAAGGAATTTGGGTTTGTGGGTGTTTTAGGCCAACGGAATGACTTGAAATAGAATATTTGCTTTATTGAGGGGTAAACGAAGGAATATTGGGTTAAAATTTATGAGGAAGTATTTTAGGATGTTTGGGGTATGATGGGAGCATATGATCAAAGGATTGATGTGCAAATGGGGATTGATCGTGGCCATTGGATCGGGATTGGATAGGTCTAACAGTGGATTTGGGGAATTTAAGACCGAAATTTGGATTCTTTAGGTTTTTTTGGCATTTTAGGGATATTAGAAAGATGTAATCGGGTTTCGAGTGAAATGGGTGCTTAGGCGACCAATCAAGCAAAAATCATGTACCGACACCCAAAATGATTTTAAAGATAAGTAATTTTCTATCCAATAGTTACTCTCACATATCAATTCAATGTTTGCACAAATAATTTTTCGACAGACCCCATCAAGCTTGATATCTATTGAAAACATTAAATATTCTCTCTTAGTGTAGGATAGTATAACTATATTCTTTGCAAATGTTGGTTCTATTACTCATTCATCTTTTTCATATGCAGCAATTTACCTATCTCCTAATTTATGTTGTTTACGTATTATTGGTGGCAAAAACTAATATCAAATCTATTTGAGGAGGTTGAATTATTTGTCATCTTACAGGGAATCCGACAAGATTTACAATTATCAAAGCCAATCTTTTATTCTCTCCGGATACCTCATCAAGGCTTTGTAGAAACAATCTTATATCCGTTGGTTGTGCCTCGGGCTTTTGTCAACGACCAAACAATAGATAGTCTCGTGCGAGTCTACTGATTTTTGTTTTGTGAATAAATAATATAATATTCCTGTGCACAACACTGATTAGAAACCTAAATTACATTCACAAGACTTTTTTTTTTCTCTTTTTGACACTTATTGTGATGGGATACCAGATGTAATGAACTATATTGAAATTTCTCCTGTATAGTGTTTTTATCTTTGCAAGTTGAATCAATTAATTGGACCATAATGGGTAGTGGACTGGTCTACACCATACCATTATTCTATACTGTGGATGACAAATTGGTCCAATTTACACTAGAGTGGTATTTTATAGGGGTGTGGTATATACCATCAATTTTTATTCCATGTATCTTATATACAATTTACGAAGTGATATATAGAAATGATCGTAAATATCTAATTTTTATAATTTATATAATAAATAAATTGAAAAAGGCATCAATAATTGAATATTAATTATTTTTAACAAAAAATTATAATAAAGTAATTATTTAAAAAATAAAATAAAATAAAAATAAAATAATTTTAAGAAATGGAACTTGTGGTGGTAGAGGTGTAAAGTGGGCCGTGCCGGGCCATGCTGCCCTCCTCGGTGAAAAATTTGGGGGTCGGCCTGACACGGTCCATGGCCTAGGCCCGTGCGGGCCCATGTCGTGCCATGGGCCGAGCCTTGGGCCAGGTCGGGCCATGCATCAGGCCATAGCTATTTATTTAAAAAAAATTGACAAAAAAACTTAAAATTTTAATTTTAAATGAATTTTGTGTATACAATTGCTTATATATAATAATTAAATAAATTAATATAATAAAATTTAAAAATTTATTTAATTTATTAATATATTATATACTATATATTATTATACAATTATAATTTATATAATATTATATAAATATATATAAAACATATATATGGGTCATGCCGTAGACCGTGTTATTGCCCGTGGATCAACATGTCAGTGGACCTAAAACCACAGACCCAACATGACCCGCATGATTATACCAGACCTGACATGACACGTGGACCATTGTGTTGGGCCAGTCCAAATTCGTGCCAGGCCATGCCAAGCCACGAAAGACACGATCCGATTTACACCTCTAATGGCGGTGGAGGAGAGATGGAACTTGTAATGCCAAGTGGTGGAGAAAGAAGGATGGTGGAGCAAGAGTGGCGGTGGAAGACTTCGATCGGTAAAAAAGAAAGAAAAATATATATGATAGAAATATATTGAATAAAAATGGAATGTGATAGACCATAGACAGTTTGACATGAAAAATTGTCATCGTCAAAGCCCGACCTGTACACAAAATATTTTATTTTCAGTGTACTTTTATAAAGTGGTATTATATTAATTTAGTTATAATTTAATAAATTAATAAACTAATTTATATTTTCTAATAGTAAACTAATATTTATTAATAATTTAAGAAACAAATATAATATATATATATTTATTATATATAATATAAATTCTTTTTTATTATATGTAATAGTATCGGGCTGGGCTTATTTGAGAAAGCTCGAGCCCGACCCAAAAAATGACTGGGCCTGGTATTTAAAGCCCGAGCCCACGGGCCTCAAGTTTTGCCCAAACCCGAAAAATAATGGGCTGGGTTGGGCTAGGTAGCCTTACTATCAAGTTTTGCATATATAGTTTTAGAAGGCTTTAATTGTGGAAATATCTTTTAAAACACATTCCACTCCCTCTTAGGTTAGGCTATTTGGGCAACAAGTGGTATCAATGAGACACTGTAAAGTGGGTTAGGTTTGATATGGAACAACCTTACTCCAAAACTAAACTGAAACCTATTTAAGAGCAACTTGACCTTACTATTAGGACCATATTAACATGGATTTATGACTTAGCCTGACCCTCTCTAACATCCCTTCTCCTTTCTAAAGTCATAAAGGAATGCTGATATACTAGGGCTGTTCATAAGAAGGCCCAACCCGACCAACCCGACTAGCCCGAACCGACCCAACTTGACCAAACCGACCAACCCAGACCGACCTAACCCGAGTCAGCTGGGTTTTCATCAGCACCGATTGGTTTCGGGTTGTACAAATTCATAAACCGATGGTTCGGGTCGGTTTCTATTTTCTTGTGTGAAAACCGAAATCGATTTAGTTCCTACTTAACTAAAAACTGAAATATCTGAAAATATATATTCCCATATCTATATCTAAAAAATATATATTATGAAATATGTCAGATATATATTTCCAGAAAATATATATTCCAATATATTTGTATGTATATTTTTGTTTATATATATATCTAAAATACATATTTCAGTTTTAAATATATTTCTAGAAAACTAGGTGGACATGGGGGGCATGGATGAACTTAGAGCCGAAACAGACCCAAACCGACCCAACCCGACTCAAATCGACCAGGTCGATTTTGCTTAACACTGGGTCGGTTTCGGTTTCTATCTCAGGTAACCCGACCAAGTCGGACCGGTTAGAAAAACCTCAGTAAACTGACCCAACCCGACCCATGAGCAGCCCTACGATATACAATGAGTTTATGCAACTTTACTTGTCTCCTATCATCATGAGTGCAACTTGAGTAGGCCTAACTTAAGTTTTCATATAGGTTGGGCCTAAGTTTTTAGGCTATGGGATGGGCTTGGGCCATAAGACTTGAACTAACCTTGGATTGAAGTCTGGGTAGATCAAGCCTGACCCAATCTTGGCCATAAATTTTAGAAATCTCATTGACACCCACCCCACAAATTGTAATCTCATCATACACTTACAACAATTTAAAACTTCCCACTCCATACCCCTTCTTTATTGGCATTAATACCCTTGCTATCACTCTTCCCAATTGTACGATGAAATAAATATTTATAAGGTGAGGTGAGAGTGAATTAAGATTCCTCAATTAAAATTTAATAAAAGATGGTTATATAAGTATTGAACGATCTATCATATACTACCTGATTGGTCACCTCTCTGTTATGATACCTTCTGATTTTGATTGGTTGTAAAATTTTCGTTATCATAGTTGAATCCAATCAAAATGTATACATAAAAGGTTTGAACTAGTTGCCCAAAGGCTCCAAACCCGAGCCCAGACCAGCCAAAACTCATATCTCTTTCGATAAAGCTCGAACTAAGGAAATAGGACTCAGTCAAAGCAAAATCTATTCGAACAATCATCATAGCCTAGCATTGGGAATATCTCTTCACGAAATAAAGCATAAAACTATAGAAATATTCCTGATGCAAGGCTATAAAGACTGTTTGAATAGTATTCAAACGGATTTTGCTCTGATTGAAGCCATGTCCAAACTAAAATTTGGATTAAACTCAGGTTAGGCTTGAATTAAGCTTCAACTCGACCCAACCCCACCACCACTCACCTTGAACTTTAGAGTTCACATCTGCGCTCTACAAGGGGTGCCCTCACAACGTCTGAATACACATCTCTTCGGTGCATTGAGAATATCTCCCTATGATGACATTATTGCTTCTGGTATTATTATTGGAGAGATGCTCCCAATACAGGGCGGAGATCTGCTGTTGGACGTTGTGGGGCGCAGATCTGAACTCCGAACTTGATACAATCACACTCCGTGGTCGGTGGTCCATTGATGTTGTTCATAATTCCATCTTCAAACACATTTGCTTTTATGGTGGGTCCCAAGATTGACTACTATTCAGCTGATTTTTAACTGAAATCGTATTTGATCATCATAAAACCGTCACACCATGCTCAAACCCCTTCACAGCCGTGCATCGGAAATATTTACCATGATAATGAATAATACATATAAATACGGAGATATTCTCGATGCACGGCTGGAAAAAAGGCTGTGAGGATGGTGTGTCGGTGTGAGAACCAAACTCGAATTCTTTTTACTGTGTTCCGCTTACTAGACGGCAACTTATGATTTATGAACCATTGCGTCATTCCCTTCTTCCATACACTTGCTCGTACCTGTATCACCGTAGTATATTACGTACGGTTCTATCCTCTACCATCAACAACCAGGACACTGGCAAGACAAATCGTAGGAAAAAAAAAGAACAAGAATACATCTAATCCCGAATCCTGGCTTCAAAGATAGGAGAACTCAATTTGCCATGTGTTTCTCACTGAAAATACGAATCTGGACTTACCCGTCTCTCTAATTCAACTTTTGAGGAAATTCTTGTGGAGGTCGCTTTCTAGCTTCTACGAACAAGACCTACCATCGCAGAAGTCTCTCTTTTTCTCGCTCAAAGACGGGAATTTAATGAATTTAATGTGTTTCATCCTGTAAAACGGTTTGGGTGCGCGTCAGAATTCTATATCTTTGATTCCTTGGCTTCAGAAGTTGCCAAGAAAATATGGTTGCTGCAGCGAATTCCCCCTTTCCCCCTTTGGCCAGTTTCCGGTGCTCCTTTCAATCTGCTAGATTTTTGGTTCCCAGCAGAAAGAGATTGGGTTCGTATTTCGGGGAGAGGAAGATTATTTGTGCTTGTTCGGCCCCTCCGAGGAGCTGTAGCGGTGGCGTATCTGCAATCAAGTTCAATGTTGGTTCGCCAAATTTCCATTTACTCTGGAACTTTCAACTTTCGTGTTATCTTTTTTTTTTTTTTGCATTTTGATTTTTTTTGGCATCTGACATTGCTTCAAATTCGTGGGCGATGTGCTGAAATATGTTTTAGCTGAAATTTATGTGGAGAAGATTGTAATAATGACTTTTATGTTAATTATGTTGTTAGGGATCGTCTAAAAAAGATAATATGCGTGCGGTTAGAGAGGTTGAGGATGAGTCGGATGTCCTTATTGAGTGTAGAGATGTTTACAAGTCATTTGGGGACAAGCACATCTTGAGAGGTCTGAGCTTCAAGGTGAATTTGACTTTTCTTTTTATTGAACATTTATGTTATATATGTTGAATCATGGTGCTGTTTCGTTAAACCAAAATCTAGCACTTCAAGGTCTATTTTCTACAACCCAGTTTCTGTTTCATTAAACTGATTAGCCCATATGTTGAATGATTTATCATCTGAAGCACTCCGCAAGAATTTGTAAAAAGGAGAAGGCACCATGGAAAAATGGCCTTTCTCTTGTTAGGCTGTGAAGTTGGTAGCCAGTTTATCTATCTGCTGCCAGCTACCCTCCTTGTCTGCGGGGTTTGGATATCTATACTAATGGATTGGAAACGCAAATATCTATTTTAAGTGATTGACCTACCTAACCTTCTTGATATCTCCACATGGGTTCTCTTTTTTATTAGTGTTTTTATATTACTCTCAATCTGGTTACACTAGAAACTAGAAAGTATATATGGTTTACTCTTCAAAGAGCCAAGGAGATTTTGCAGTTTGGGTAAGAAGTAAACCATGCTAAAATACAGATACATTGCATTATCTTGGCTGAGGTTATTATTTTAGTTTGCTTATTGGCATTAGGGTTGCAAAGGGGAATTTGACTCAATCTTAGGACTTTAGGATAGAGAACAAAATAAAGCAAGTGCAGGCTTCATGCTGGATGGAACACAAAGTGGATAGTAGGTAAACTTTTCATTCCCTTGAAAGCTCAATATCACTATTCCCTTCTTTCATGATATTTATCAGATATACCCTATGTTGGGAAGTAAGCTAAAGTTCTTGGTGGGCTTATGGTGGAGGGACATTCCTCCTTATGCCCTTCATTATAAACCTAATCTGCACTAGAATTCTGTTAGAATTAGGGTTGAAGAAATATTAGAGAGACTAGAAGAAGAAGTAGAAGAAGAAGAGAGGAGAATAAAGAAGAAGAAAATTCTGTTTCGAACTAGAGAACTCAGATCACTCTCTAGTCGGCCAGATTGAATTTATATGTTTCTATCCATAATAACAAAAGACTATTTTGTCCCTACTTAAGTGTGGGACACATCATCTAACAGAAACATTACACATCGGCTTTAAACATAAATATAAAGACTAAAATACCCCTACACAGTCAACACTAACACTCCCTCTCAAGCTAGTGAGTATATATCATATAGTCCTAGCTTGTTACATATGTAATCTACTCTCCCCCGACTCAACCCTTTGATGAACATGCCCATTGATTTCCTGTGTTAACATATGCAGTATTTATCACTCCACTCATCACCTTCTCTCTCACAAAGTGACAGTCAACTTCTATATGCTTTGTTCTCTCATGAAAAATCGGATTAGAAGAGATGTGGACTGCAGCTTGGTTGTCACAATAAAGCTTCATTGGAGTGTTAATCGAATATCTCATCTCCTGTAGAAGATTTCTCAGCCACACTAATTCACAAGTGGTATGTGCCATAGCTCTATATTCGGCTTCTGCACTGCTTCTTGCCATAACTGTCCGTTTCTTACTTTTCCATGTTAGCATATTACCTCCAAGGAAAGTATAATAACCTGTAGTGGATTTTTTGTCAGATATAGAGCTAGCCCAATCAGCATCAGTATATCCCTCTATTTCGAGATTTCCTCCACTCTGATATATCAAGCCACGACCAGGAGCTCCCTTCAAATACCTTACAATCCTTAGAACTGCATTCCAATGTGGAACCTGGGGTTTCTGCATGAATTGACTCACCACACTAACTGCAAATGAAATATCTAGCCGGGTAATGGTTAGGTAATTTAGTTTATCCACCAACCGCCTGTACCTTCCAGGATCATCAAACTCTTCACCCATATCACTACTCAGCTTGGTATTTGATTCCATAGGTGTTTCAGCTGGTTTGACACCTAATAATCCTGTTTTTTCCAACAAATCAAGAACATATTTCCTCTGGCACAAATTAATACCATGCTTAGACCTTGCTACTTCTATCCCCAAGAAGTATTTTAGTTTACCAAGGTCCTTTGTTTGAAAGTGTTCCTACAGAAAGATCTTCAACCTATAAATTCCTAATTTATCACTCCCGGTAATGATAATATCATCTACATATACCACCAATAAGATCTTTCCGGCCTGTGAGTCATGACTGAAGGCTAAGTGGTCAACCTGACACTGCTTCATACCAAACTTCTTTACCACTTTACTGAACCTACCAAACCATGCACGAGGAGATTTTTTAAGTCCATAAATGGCCTTCTTTAGTCTGCACACCTTACCATCCTCCCCCTGAGCAACAAACCCCGATGGTTGCTCCATAAAGACTTCCTCAAGTAGATCACCATGTAAGAAAGCATTCTTGATGTCAAGCTGAAAGAGAGGCCAATCATACATAGCAACTAGAGATATCACAATACGAACTGAACCAATTTTAGCAACAGGAGAGAAGGTCTCTGTGTAGTCAATACCATATGTTTGGGAATACCCTTTGGCAGCCAGTCTAGCTTTTAACCGCTCTACACTGCCATTGGGTAAATGCTTAATAGTGTATACCCACTTACAACCGACAATTTGCTTACTAGGAGGAAGTGTGGTGAGATCCCATGTATGACTATGAGTTAAGGTAGAGAGTTCTTCTTTCATTGCATGGTGCCACTCTGGAGAGGCAAGGGGTTCCTGGACATTCGTAGGAATGGTAATAGAAGATAACAAAGAGATAAACTGGCGATGGGAAGCAGAAAGATGAGTGATAGAAACATAATTAGAAATAGGATGAAGAGTGCAATTGTGTTTACATTTCTGCAAGGAAATTGGAAGATCAAGATAAAAAATTGGGGTTGTAGCTGGTGTGGGAACAACTGTCGGATTTGTTGACGGTGATGGAGCTGGAGGAGGAACCGGTACATGTTGTCAATGTGTATTGGGAATTGGGGACTCCATCAGGGTAGAACTTTTAGCTGCTGTACAAGGGGTGCAATTTGCAAACCAGCTGGGCGTACAACACCTAATAATCGAGGGGGATTCCAAAGTGGTGGTGGGTTGGTTGAAAAATCCTGAAGAGGCTATGTGGCGTTACAAGAATGAAATGAAGAAATTTAGTTGGTTGACAAGGAATATGTTGGTCACTGTACAGTGGGTGGGGAGATCAGCAAATACTTTGCAGATATGTTAGCTAAGCAAGGGGTAAATAGGGAAGAATTATTTTGGGCTCAGTTGTGATTTTTGCTTTTCTTTCCTAGTTTACTTGTAAGGTTCAAGAAGGGGCTGCAGCTCGCGCCTCTCGCTGGGATGTTGTATGAACTCACTCTAAATTTGCTTTTGAATTAATAAATTTATTATCATTCATCAAAAAAAAAAAGAGGAGGAGGTGGTGGGGAAGAAGAAGCATCACTTGACCCTGAGAAAAATAGAGTGGACTCAAAGAAAGTAACATCATCACACATAAAGGAACGTCAGGAGCTAGGGTGATAACACTTATACCCTTTCTGGGTCTGGGAATAGCCAAGGAAAATACACTTAATGGATCGTGCATCTAACTTGTCCCTTCTCGGTACAAGATTATGAACAAAATAGACACACCAAAAAACCCGAGGAGTAAGGGGAAATGAAGACAAGGTAGGAAACAAAGTGGTGAAGGGAGAATGATCTTTAAGGATGGGCGTGGGCATCCGGTTAATCAAAAAGCAAGATGTAAGCACAACATCACTCCAAAAAGGTTTGGGTACATACATATGGTGCATAAGGGATCAAGCGGTTTCCTAAAGGTGATGGTTCTTTCTCTCAGCTACTCCATTTTGTTGTGGGGTGTAAGTACATGAAGTCTGATGGATAATGCCACGTTGTTCCAAATACTCCTGAAATGGTGTATAAAAGTATTCACGACCATTATCAGAATGGAGACTCTTAATTTGTACACCAAATTGGTGCGAATTTCAGCATAAATTTTTTGGAAAATGGAAAACAATTTAATCTTTTCTTTCATTAGGTAAAGCCATGTCATCCTTGAATAATCATCAACAAAAATAACGAAGTATTTATAACCATTGTATGACATTATTTTATTTGGACCCATACATTTGAATGAACTAAAGAAAAATGACTCGACATACGATTATCAACCCTAGGACTAAAGGGAACACGATGATGTTTCCCTAATTGACATGCCTCACAATCCAAAACAGAAAGATGACTCGACAGAACAAGAGACTTCAAAACTTTAAGTGATGGATGACCAAATCTACAATGCCACCGAAGAGGAGAAAGAGATGTCTGAAGGGCTGTTGATGCACTGCCACCACCATCAAGATAATACAGTCCACCAACTTCATGCCCTCCACCAATCTTCATCCCCATCTTGAGATCCTGAAGAATACAAGAAGAAGGGTAAAAAGTGATAGATCAATTAAGGGACTTGGTCAACTTACTAACAAACATAAGTTTAAAAGGAAACTTGGGAACATACAAAACTGAGGATAAAGATAAAGGGTATATGTTAACATTACCAACACCACAAATGGAAGATGTGGAACCATTAGTAAGGGTAACAGAGTGTGATGTTGGGCACTGAGAAAGGGAGGAAAACAAACTTGGACTTCCAATCATGTGATTGGAGGCTCTAGAGTCAGTAATCTAGGGGCTAGGTTTGGATGCCAGACAAGCCATACCTGAGTGTGCAAGAGTGGCTGTATTTTGTTGAGATGTGGCTTGAACAAACTTCTCATACTCATCACGTGGAACACTCATCATCTCCTTCCTGGGAACATCTGTAGATACAGAGGGCATCTGATCAGCTGGATGACCCTCCTGTCTGGAACTACTATAACTGGTCATTGCACGATTTGCCCAAGTTGAGGGTGGGCCATGCAAATCATAACAATAATTGATGGTATGTCCTTCCATACCACAATGCGTACATCTTCTTGGACTAGAACTACGTCCTCTACCACAAACTCCCCTTGAATCTCGACCTCCAATACGTCCACCACCACTACTACGACCATACATCGGTCCATTGCTACCACTATGGCCAGATTGAGCTCCCTGA